AGGAAGTGTTACTAGAATTTAAAACAAAGGAAATTATGTGAAATCATGGTTAAAGATCAAGCTGTAATTCTTCATTCTTGTGACTTCTTTGTAATTGTCACTCCTGGCTGAGCCCGGATAATTGTGCCCGTTCCTTGCGCCTGGCTGAACTTAAATAATGAAAGCCACCCCCTGGTGCCTGAGCTAAGGGTCAGGCTGACAACATACCTGCATCTGGCATGGTGTGTTTCCAGGACGTGGCTCTGCTGATGTCACTGGACTCAGCCGACAATCAGCTCGGGTGCCTTCGCAGGCACTCTCTACACCCACACACATTAATACATTTATCCACCCCCATCTCTGAGCCACATCTTCCTCCTCTGTAAAGTGGGGGCCTCTTGGCACTCCCCCAAACATTCAGTTTACAGCATCAGTCATTCCCTTTGCACAAGGAACACCTAGTGCCCGGCCTAGCACTATGCATGGGGGCACAGAGACCCATAGACTCAGGAGACAGATGTTAAGCTAAGACCAAAAATAAAGTAGGTGAGTATGAGTGCGGCTGCCCAGGCTGGGATGGAAGGGCTTCTCTGAGGAGGTGACAATTGAGCTGAAGAATGGATGAAAATAAGCAGCCAGGCCCAGCCGGCATGGCTCAGTGGTTGAGCATTGGCCTATGAACTTGGAGGTCACGGTTTGATTCCCAGTCAGGCACATGCCTGGATTTCAGGCTCTATCCCCAGTGTGGGGCATGGAGGAGGCAGCTGATCAATGATTCTCATCATTGATGTTTCTATCTCTCTCTCTCCCTCTCCCTTCCTCTTTGAAATTAAAATATATATATATATCATAAAGCAAATCACATCCCTTGAAAGCTCTCAATCCACTCTCAGAATTAATTCCCAATTCCTCACCCCACCCCTGAGGCCATGCCTCAACTCTTCACTCCACGCCCACCTTCTGCTGTTCCTCTAACCCACCAGCTTATTCTCACCTCAGGGCCTTTGCACCTGCTGTTCCTTCTGTCTGGTGTGCTATCTCCCAAGCTCTCTCCTGGTCAGCGCCTTCTCCTCTTTTCAAGTCTCAGATGAAAATTACCTCCTCAGAAAGGCCCCCTAACTATGTCTGAGTGACATTTATCCCCCCATCACTCTCCAGGTCCTTACGTGGTTTCATTTTCTTTCAAGCACCATGGGAACTAACTTATTTATCTGTCGAATAAATAAATGAATATGAATGTGGGCAGTGGTTTTGCCATCTGAGCTCAATTTCCCCAAGCAGCTGACATCAGTGGGCTTCCTGTCCTGGGAGGGGCCTGCTTTCCACACACCCTCTGCTTTCCCCGAACACCATCCCAGCTGCTGGGAACCCTCCCTCCTGGGGGAGGCCAAGCGTCGACTACTTAGATTTCTGCATCAGAATTCAGGTGCCTGTGGGAGAGGGTGGGGATGGTCAGTTATGCTCAAATCGGGGCGGGGGGGAGGCGGTCAGGAATCCTGGGTCCTAGAAGGATCAAGTCTGTGCAAAGAGCTGGGGGAGAGGGTAGCTCAGCAGCCCCCAGCTGTGTAACCCACAGCAGGTCATATCTCTCTGAACATTAACATCCTCTTCTGTGGCATGGAAATAAGAGAAGAAAAGGAGCTATGCAGTTTCCCCGCACCTAGTAGAGGCTCTGAGGTGTGAACGGGTGTGCACTGCCTTCAGCTTCTCCCCTGCTCCCCTTGCCCTGGCTCTGGCCCTGCTCAGCCTTGTGGTCTTGGACCTCACTTTCTAAATCTGAATGTTTAGTCTGGTGGTGGACACAGACGCATTGGTGAGGCTCAGGGGCAGAGCAGAACACGGCTGGGCCGCCCCTGTGAGTTCCACTTCTCCCGCGCCCCCATTTACCTCTTTGACCCCCAGCACACACCCTCCGCTGTGGCTTCCAGTTTGGGTGCCACTCCCTGGGGTCAGCACCGCGGACAGCTCCCAGCCTGTGGCTGGCACGGGCAGCCCCCTATTCTTTTTTTTTTTTTTTTTTAAGCAAAGGGGGAAATGTATTAAAGAACAAGCACAGATTCCCACGTGGGAGGGGGAAAGAGTCCCCTGTTCCTTTTTTTTTAAATATATTTTATTTATTTTTTACAGAGAGGAAGGGAGAGAGAGAGAGAGTTAGAAACATCAATGAGAGAGAAACATCGATCAGCTGCCTCCTGCACACCCCCCACTGGGGATGTGCCCTCCACCAAGGCACATGCCCTTGACCGGAATCGAACCCGGGACCCTTCAGTCTGTAGACCGGCGCTCTATTCACTGAGCCAAACCGGTTACGGCCTTTTTTTTTTTTTTAAGACAAAAAGAACAGCGATGCAGAGGGCATGGGCACAACCCGAACGGACGGTGGCCCTTGGCAGCAGCCGCAGCAGGAGCTGGGCCAGGAGGCCGGCAGGGTGGGGGCAGGATGCTGGCTGGGAGCTAAAGGGGGCCTGGGTGCGGCACCGCCTGTGGGGTTATGGCACGTGTGGGAGTGTTCACGGTGAGCCGGCCACAGCCGGGAGGGACCGAGGCGGGGCAGGGTGAGCGGGAGGCAGGCATACGGGCATGTGTGGGGAGGTGGGGGCTCGCCGGCCCGGCCACCTAGATCAGCAACCTCTCTGAGTCCGGGAGGAAGGCAGGGTCTGGGAGGCCTCTGTGGGAAGCTCCTCGGGGTCAGGGCCCCCTATTCTTTTATCACCTACGACCCAGAGGAAGGTGTTTGGCTCAGTGGACAGAGCGTCGCCCTGCGGACTGAGGGGTCCCAGGTTCGATTCCGGTCAAGGGCATGGGCCTTGGTTGTGGGCACATCCCAAGTAGGGAGTGTGCAGGAGGCAGCTGATCGATGTTTCTAACTCTCTATCCCTCTCCCTTCCTCTCTGTAAAAAAAAAATCAATTATATATAAATACCTCTAGCATACTTGCAAACATTTTATTTAGTTTCTCCTATCCAGTCCTTCCTCTGGTACTGTTTTCACACCACCACCCCTCCCCCATGGGGAAACTGAGGCATGCTTGCCCTAGACCCGGCAGCATCTGTTGGGCTGGAGAACTTACATTCCTGACTCATTAACTGAACCTGATTCTGTTTGGTGTTTAAATGCCTCTAGTGTTGCCCTAACCTGTTTGGCTCAGTGGACAGAGCGTCGCCCTGCGGACTGAGGGGTCCCAGGTTCGATTCCGGTCAAGGGCATGTGCCTTGGTTGTGGGCACATCCCAAGTAGGGAGTGTGCAGGAGGCAGCTGATCGATGTTTCTAACTCTCTATCCCTCTCCCTTCCTCTCTGTAAAAAAAAATCAATTATATATAAATACCTCTAGCATACTTGCAAACATTTTATTTAATTTCTCCTATCCAGTCCTTCCTTAAGAAATGAACTGAGGTTCAGAATCCAGAATCCCATCTCCACCATTTATTTACCAGCTGTAACCTTGGGCAAGTTACTAAAGCTCTGAGACTCAGTTTTCTTTTTTTGTAATATGAAGACAATGGTATAAAATGGCCTCACCGTGCCTCATGAGCTGACCCACAAGGGTGTCTTAGAACAGCACCTATGTGGAATGAGTGTGCAAGAAAGATTGGCTATTGGTACTGCCATTATTATTCACTTGTTTATTTACTGCATGTTTTATTTTTATATTTTAATAAATAATATAACATGAAATACCATTAAAGTGCCTATTATTATAACAAACAGCAGTATATATTACATGATGTTATAAATAATGAATATACTGTGTATTAATTGATTAATAAATAAATATTGCTGTAATACCTTCTATAGGCCAGGCACTATTCACATCCGGCAAGGTTGAGGTCCATCTCCCCATTTCATAGATGAGGAAACTGAGGTTCAGAGAAGTAAATTCACTCAGGGGGGGAGTAAAACTGAGGTACAGCTCTCTGGGCCAGCCCAGGTATCTGGGTGAAGGAATCTCAGAGCATCATGGTCCCAGGGAGCCAGGAAGGTCCATGCCTGGGAACTCACTCATGTCTTGTTACTGTCTCCCTAGCAGGTCCGAGAGTCTGTGGATTCTAGCTCAGCCCCTGTGAGTCCCCGTGGCAGTGGTGTCATCTGGAGACGCTTCTCAGGGACCCCATTGCTGCCACCGCTGTCGAGCCGCCTCCGGCCCCCTGGAGAAACGGAGCCCAGCTCCTGTGTGGTGTTCACCATCGGGGCTCAAGGGACAGAGCAAAGCCATGGTCCAGCTTCAAGCAGGTGAGGAGGCAGATGGGGATCAAGGGGGTCAGTCCCAGGAGAGAGGGGAAAATGTCTCGTCTAGATGGACCTTTCTTTAATTTGTTCATAAAGCACTTATCAAGCACCTATTGTGTGCCAGGCCCTGTACTAGGGGCACAGCCATGGCCAAGTAGGTGCTCATAGGCTGATGGTGGAGACAGAGTCATGCCAACTGAAGAGATGAAGGTGCCATGGAGCCCAGGGGGCTTCTGACCCAGCACTGGGGAGTAGAGGGTGAGAAAGGACTTCTTGGAAGAAGTGGCATCTAAGGATGCAGAGGTGGCTTAAAGGATGAAGAGAATCAGCAAGGAGGAGCACAAGGGAGGAACAGATTGTGCAAAGCCTCAAACTCAAGAGGATCAGGTGTATGAGGAGTTGAAGACAGATCAACATGGCTGGAGGGTGGGAGGAGAGCCTGGGGAGGTGGGTAGGGGCTGGACCACACAACAACTCAGGGTGTAATGGGGAGCCATGGGTGTGTTTTCAAGAGAATGAATTGATACAATTGGCATTTTAAAAAATGCCTTCTTGCTCCCAGATTGGGGGGGGGGCGGCGGGGAGATTGTCAGGGGCAGGGTGGAAGCAGCAGGAGCCCAGTGAGAAGGCAGTTCTGGGCAGGAGACGGTAGTGTCTGAACCAGGGTGTGAGCCATGGGCTGGAGAGAAGTAGGCAGATTCGCATCCACTTCTTTTCAAAAATTGTATTTATTGATGAGAGAGATTTGTTGTTCCACTTATTTATTCATTCATTGGTTGATTCCTGTATGTGCTCTTAACAAGAACCCCCAAACGTTGGTGTATCGGGACAATGCTCTAACCAACTGAGCTACTCAGCCGGGGTGTCCACATCTACTTCTGTCAATCATGATAGAAAATGTTCTCACCCTTCCTTTTCCACTTCCCAGGAAATTTCTCCTGAGATTCGAATGCCTGGCGGGAAGGGCCTTGAGTTTCTAGAACTGGGGAAGGGAGAGGCATGCCTGTGAGGTGGGGCCCATGGTGTGTCACAGAACAAATGAGATTCTGCCATTTCCACTGGGCATTGGTGTGGCGATGAAAGGGTGCCCTTCTTTGCCCACTCCCACTGTTGGCGGCCCTGACCAGAGGCAGCTTGTGTGCCCACCCCAGGCATGCAAGTTTTTCTGTTCTCCCCAGATCCCTACCCTGTGTGAGTGAGGAGTTTCGGACTCCCAAGAGACCCCATGTGGGTCTGAATGGCTAAGCTTAGCTTCCTGAGCTTGGTGGATAGACGGCCGTTTGTTACTACCTCTGAGGACCAGAGCCTTTGACTCTGCACCCAGACTCCTTTGCTACCGTCACTGGGGAGGGTTGAGGACCCGCCGCTGTTCAGCCTTCAGCACCTCCTGGGCGGACGGCGCCCTAGTCTGGAGGTGCTCAGGAACCCCCGTCTCCCTGATGACTTCAGCACCAACAGGTCGAGGACAGCAACTCGCTGTCTCTCCCACCCTCAATCCACTACCTTCTTCCCTTTCAAAACCTAAAGAAGGGACAGTGCCTTCACGCTGGGGGTCTCCCAAGGCCCCGTCTCTCTGCTCTCCATTCGGCAGCAACCGGGAGGACCGTTTCTGCCTTCTCCACTCCAAGTCCGGTCTTACAGGAAAACGACAGACCATTCTCGGCGCTGGGGGGTCTCCCCAGCGCCTGTCTCCAACCCCCACGCCCAGGTTTTCCACCCCCGACGCCCCGCCCCGCTATCCTTCAGCACCACCGGACACGGACAGCTCCTCGGTGTCCGCCCCGCCTTGAGCCCCTGTTGACCACCGCTGGCGCCGACAGCCCCTCGCCTCCACCCTCGCCCGGGCAGACCAGGGCGCAGACTCTGACAGTCCTCACTCCGGGACGGCTCCCTCCCCCTCCTCTCCCTGCTCCGCTCCTCTGGCGCATGGAGACCCCGGGGGTACCAGAAGGGGCGCGGGCACCCAGCGAGCTGAACCGCGCTCTCGGCGGCCAAGGCTTAGCCAGATCCCCGAAGCACCTGTGGCGGCAGCCGCGGCGCCCCATCCGTATCCAGCAGCGATTCCACTCGGACCCGGACAAGTCCGCGGGCCGCAGCCAGCAGAACCGGGGTCCGCGGCTGGGGCTCCAGAAGTCAAGGTGCTCCTGGCCCACTTCCTTCCACAGGTGGTAGGTGGGCGGGGGCAGGGCTCTCCCGAGGCGTGGGGGAGGGGAGCACGGGTCTGTGGGAGTTGGGAAGGGTCCTTGCTTCTTCAGGGGGCGGGAGTCTCCACTGTTTGGCTGAGGCCGGTGCTTTCGAGGGAAAAACTGTTTTTACATGGGGTGACGCTGGGGCATCATGATTGTTTATGGGGGGTGTGCCTGGGTGTGCCAGGTGTGGTTGCATCTCAGTGTGTGTGTGAATCTGAGCAATTGTGACCCTGTGTGTGCTCCGACCCTCTGCGTGAGTGTGCACAGCCAGCTGCCTCTCTGCGGGTGACCAGGGGTGCTCGGTGGTATGTACACCAGTTGTGTATCTGCCTGTGTGTCTTGCCCTTGTGGTCCTTGTGGGTATGTGGACCAGCGTGGCTGTCCTCGCTCTAACACAACTGAGGTCCTTTAGACCCTGGAGTGTCCTCGGATGTTTGTGGGGTGTAGCCACCTCGAGTATCTGAGAGGGCAGGTTGGGCTGTCCTCAGCCCCGGAGGAAGGAGCTTGCTCTGTGACCTGCCTTGCCACCATCCCTCTCCCCTGTCGCTGGCCCCTGTCACCAGAAGCAGGGGAAGCCTCTTGGGAGCCTGAGCACAGGATGTTTCTTCCCTTAAGAAAGGAGGGGGTGGAGAAGGGGATGTTGAAGTGGGAAGGGCTGCTCCTCCTGTTTCCTATAAAAGGTGAGTGGGACGATGAGAGAGAGATGGAGAGAAACAGCAAGTGAAACAGGGGCTCGAGGGAGCCAGAGGTGGGAGTCTCAGCGGCTGGGCCAGGGCTGGGGGGCCCAGGAGCAGGGCCCAGGAGTCCCAGATCTTTCTTGAGTGGGAGGGGGAGTTAGAGTAGGTCAGATCTAGAGTCCTGGGCTTGGTCAGGCTGGTCACCTTAGGGAGTCATTTTCCTCTCTAGATCGTCATTCTCCCACCGTGGTCCATGGCCCTCCTAGGGTTACTGGCTTCTTGACCTACAAGCCTGGCCTAACTCCCCAGCCCCAAGGCATCTGCAGCAGCTGGGATTGGAGCGCCTCCCAGGTGACCTAGCAGGTCCACTGTCCCCTTTTCCACTTCCCAGCCCTCAGTGCCTCCTGCCTCCCCCCTCCCAGTGACTCATAATTTTCCATCTTCAAGAAAGAACAAACAGAGACTGGATTTGGGCCCGTCTAGGGGGAGAGGTTCTGGAATGGGCGTGTCCCTGTGACCGTGTACTTGCAAATCCTGTCCATGCATGTATGTGCTGACCTGGGGGAGGGGCTCAGCCCTTAGGTTCCAGGCCAACTGGGTTCCGGGACAGTCTGCTAGGTGCTCCCCAGCAAGCAGAGAATACTAATGAAAGGCAAACACACAGCTGTACTTCCTGTATTTTGTTGAGAACTCTCTGTGTGGGAGCCTGGCCCCCACTGTGGCTCTTCTCCTCCGTCCCGGGTGGGTCCTAGCATCTTGTTCAGCAAACATTTATTAGCTACCTACTTCCCCCACTGTGGCTCTTCTCCCCCCTGTCCCGGGTGGGTCACTTTGGTCTGGGAGGGTCTTAGCATCTTGTTCAGCAAACATTTATTAGCTACCTACTGTGTGCCAGGGCCTGTCCTGGGGACACAGCCATGGGTAAGCAGGTGCTTACAGGCTGATGGTGGAGACAGACTCGTACCAGCTGGAGAGAGAAGGCCTCTGACCCAGCTGTGGGGGGTAGGGTGTGAAGAGGGCCTGCTTGGAAGAGGTGGCATCTAAGCTTAACCTGAAGGTTGAAGAAAAATCAGCCAGAGGGCAGGGAAGGGTATACCAATTAGACGGAACAAATTGTGAAAAACCTCAGACTCAGAAGGGTCAGGTATATGAGGAACTGAATATAAATCAACTAAAGGCCGGGTGCATGAATTCATGCACGGTTGGGGTCCGGCCAGCCCACCCTGATTGGGGCCAACTGGGCTGGGCTGGCCAGGGGGAGGGACTGTGGGTGGCTGGTGGGCTGACCCCGCCCCCTGGTCGAACTGCAGTTTGAACACCCAGTGGGAGGGACAAATTGCATATTACCCTTTTATTATATAGGATGTGGTTGGAGAGTGGGAGGGGAGACTCCCTATTCATCTCCCAAGCATTAATTGAGAACCTATGGAGTGTTGGGCCCTGAGGGCATAGCTGGTAGCAAGGCAGACCTGGTCCTACCCTTGAGGGGCTGGTGGGCAAGGCAGAAACAAATCAAATAATCATGACAATAAGTGTGAAATTGTACTTGTGAGAGAAGGTGCTCTGAGAACATTTACCCAGCTGGTCAGGGAGGGCTTCCTGGAGGGGTGATCTGAAAGATGAAGAGTCAGCAAGGGAAAGGTGTTGGGGCAAAGGCATGTGTGAGAAGGAGCCTGGCTGATTCAAGGAACAGCAAGGAGCAGGAGGAAGCCGCCACAGAGTGAACCAAGAGGAAGAGGGCGGGAGGCCAGCAGGGGTCAGGCATCACAGGGCCTCAGGAGAGGTGTGGATTCAGATGAGAGGGCAATGAGGAGCCAGAGGAGGGTCTGGAGCAGAGGAGGGGGAGATCAAACTCATGGGAGCATCTATACACGTGACACCGCCCCCACTCTCTTCTTTCTGTCTAGACTCCACGGAGACTTGGGAAAGTCATTTCTCCTCTCCTGTTTGTCCTTAAATGGGCACAACAGCACCCACATCCTGTCTCCCTGGGGCCGCCTGGTGGCAGAAGAGAAAAGTGCCTGCCCACGGCAGGAATGCTCAAATGGGGGGAGTGATGTCCTTAGGGCACCAGTGACTGCCGGGCACCTCCTCAGGTCATGCAGCACCCAGGGACAAAGTCAGGATGGGGGTCCCTGGGTCCATCCAGCCTTCAGCCTCTGCCCTTTACCCGGCAGGGCTTGGGGCCACCCAGGGTCAGGCAGGCCAGATTCCAATGCTGAGTTTCAGCGATGAGTCTCAGTTTCTCCATCCAAAAAGCTATTAATAACACATTACTGTTAAAACTGTTAATGAAATATTTAAGGTTGAATCTATTAATGAACATTAATATTAAACTATTGATAAAACATTAATGAAGTCTGGGGCTTCAGAGGGGATGAAGCCAGTTAAGCACTGAGTGGGAGAGAGCACCGGCTGGGCAGTCTATGTGGCAACTGAACACGCCGCTCTGTGCCTCAGTTTCCCCATCCCCCAAATGAGCATAATAGTCCTCATTTTCAAGAATTGCTCCGAAAAGCAAGTGATTTTTAGGTGCAGAGCCCTTGGCTCAGAGCCAGGCAAGTAGGAAGTGCTATTGGTATTGATGTGTTTAGTCTTAACCTGCCATTTCAGGTCTGTGACTTTAGGGGAGTGACTGAATTCCTCTGTGCCTCAGTTTCTCCTTGGGGACATAAGACTATTGCAAGCCCCTCCCATGGAGCTGGGATGGTGTCAAGGCTCCTGGGAGGGATCCTGGCCCCAGCGTCTCCACCAGGCTGATGCTGGCAGCCTCTATCCCCCGGGGATCGGCTATAATTAGGTGCAGCCGCAGCAGCTACAGAGGGTATTTTTGTCTTGGGGACAGCAAGTCTGGTTCCCACCAGGTGTCTGCTTGTAGGGCCACAGATGGCAGGAGGGGGTTCCCGGACAGACCCTTGATACCCCTTGTCCTCCTGGGCCCCAGCATGACCCCTCTCTGAACCTCCATTTTTCTCATCTGTACAATGAGGCCAATAGTGTGGTTAGGAGGTCAGGAGAGGGTCAGGATCTCCTCCCTGTGGTGCCTCAGGCTCCCTCCGCTGAAGCCCTGATCACCCCAAGCTGTATCTCATATTTCCCTAGGTGTGCCAGAAATGTGAGTGCCCCACAACTACTGGTATAGTCCTCCCAGAGGCAAGGCCTAGACAGTGGGGAGGAGGGCGGGAGGTCCAGCCTCCCTGGACTCAGTGGCTTCTGCCTGTGATGTGGGCATTTGGGGTCCTGCCTCCAAGTGTGACACCCTCTGAGATGTGGTTTCCTTTCCTGCAGTTCAGGGCAGGGCGACCAACCCCAGCACCTGGTATAGGCCCCTGAACTCTCCCAGACACCAGTGGTGAGGGCTCCCTTTGCAACTTCCCCCCAGGTCCTTCCTGGTGGGGGTGGGGGCGGGTAGCTGATGCTTCACAGAACAGGAGATCTGGCTGGAATGGAGAGCGGATGTTTGTCCAGTGGAGACAGCAAGCGAGGGAAAAGGATCCAGAGACAGGGCCTGGGGTATGTCAGAGCAGGTGGGGGTCATGCGGGGACTTGTGGAGGGGAACTGGAGGAGGGGGAGCCTTGCCCAGCCCTCTGCCCTGCCATGAAGTTTTGTGTGTTACCACCTTGTTGGATTCCTCAGTTTCCTCACCTGGCAAAGGAGTAAGGCTTTGTTGCTGCTGGGCAGGCCCTTTGTGGCTCCAGGCCTCAGTTTCTCCATCCGGAAAACGGGCAGAGTGGGACTGGAGTTTGTTGCTTCTGGGCAGCCCCTCAGCAAACTCCTGCCTCGATGCCCTGCTCATTATGGACGGTGCTTCCCTTTCTGACTTCTCCATTTCACTCTTTCAGCCAAGTTACCCAGACAGCTGCACTATTGCGAGACAGGTTGGCTGGTGAAAGTAGAATAATATCCGGGTTCTAGGCCGCAAAGGGCCGCCCACAAAGGGGGGGGGCAGAGAGTGGCACCCAGCTCCGTGCCTCAGTGTCCCTATTTGCCCGGGTGGGAGCTGCCCAGAACGGACCGTGGCGAGGCGGGGCGGGGCGCGCTGTCCCCTCTCCGCGGCCCCGCCCCCCCG